GTAGCGAATGGTGAACGGCCATAGAAAATGGGGTGCACCGGCATGGATCATGGAGGTACGAGCCACCTCCATGACCATACCGATGCGTCGCTCAGCGACCCCATTCTGCTGCAGGGAGTCCGGCAGGGTGAACGTTTGGGTGATGCCCTCCGCACGATAGAAGCGACGAAGGCAGCCATTGGCAAACTCGCCACCACGGACAGAGTGAAGTCGCAAGACAGGGAGACCTCGGTGAACACACGCAGAGACAAGCCACGGGAGAAGAACGTCAGGCACGTCGGCCTTCCACTCCAGAAGAAAGACGGTGGTGTAGCGGGTGTAGTCGTCGACAAGCACTAGGAAGTAGCACTTGCGACGCGGCCCATGGACGGGGGCGGGGGCCCAGACGTCCATGTGCAGGGTCTGCAACAGTGCGGAGGTAGGGGGGAACAAGGAAGAGTGAGGGGCACGGCGAAGCCGGCCCTCGACACAGGGCGTGCACGGAGGCCCAGGTGAGGAGGGGAGCATAGGGAACGACTCAAGGTGGCCTAGGACAAGACGGTGCTGGGACATGTGACGGAGACGGGTGAGGGCGGGGTGACCTAGACGGTAGTGCCACAGAAGTGACGGGTGAGTAAGCGATTGATACGAGCACGCCGCAGCAACCTGGGAAGACGCAGGTACCTGGAGAGGCGTCCCAACCAGGAAGGAAGCGGTGTCCAGCGTGAACAGGCCAGACATCGGGTCCCGGGGGAACGTGGTGAGGGGGGCACCAGTGGCGGCCTCAGTATAGACAGCGTACCGCTCGTGCCCAGGGAACGTGGTGGTGACGCCAAGGTCCTGGAGGCAGGCAACACCAACTAGGTTCCTAGAGAACAAAGAGATGTGCAGGCCTATAAGGGAGCCTGGGGGAACTGTCGGATAGGGGAGTGTAGTGGAGCTACTGGCAACTACAAGACAGGAGGAAGGGTCTTCAAGAGCAACTGCAGCAGGAGCGGCAAGCAGCGTAAGCATCGTGGAGTCGCGAAAGAAACACCGGGAAGCGCCGGAGTCCAGGGTGAAGGAGAGCGTGGAAGCGGCGACAAAGGTTGGAGGAGCGAGGGAGGACCCTAGGTTAAACAAGGCAGGGGATCCTATGCCTGACGCAGCAGGGGAGCCTGAACTACGCACACTGGGCACACCTACGCTAGGCAACACAGGGTAATAGGAACCAGTCACACTAGAGGCATCAACATACCACGCATACTGTGTCATCTCATCCATGTCTATATCAAGGATCTGAACACGACGACGGAGCAGACTGTGCCAGTCGGGGAGGTCAGGCGACGGGCCGAAGCGGAGACGAAACAGGTCGTCTAGGCAACAAAGGCAATGAGCGGGGGTATGACCGATCTTACCGCACACGAGGCCGCAGTGAGGACCGGTCTGGAGCTGGTACTGGCAGCGCACGTCACTCGGACTACCACCCGACAACACGCCACGTGAGTGACCACTGCGACCACCGTCACCTCCAGCTCCACGCCACCAGGGCGAGAGACGGCCGACCCTCCGCTGCTGCTGCTGCGCTTGCTGCTGCTGCGCCTGCTGCTGCTGCTCATGCTGGTGGTCTAGCTGTGGAGCTTGCTGCTGCTGCTTGGGCGGCTGCTCCTGGGCACCAGCCCCAGCCCCCTCATCAGTACTACTAGCGGGCGAGCCACCTCCACCACCGGCACCACTCCCTCCTCCGCTACCTCCGCCGCGCCCAGCCTTGGGGCGGCGACCCTTACCCGGATGAAACTGCATTGCGGCGGCTATCTCCATAGCCGGAGCTGTCTTAGCAACCGCAGCAGAACCGTCGGAGTAAGAGCACTGAGCAGCGGCACAGCGCTGAAAGATAGAGACTGGCACGGTACCGCTAGACTGGGCGATAGAGCGCTAATGGGTTTCTATGGCAGACAGGGTGTCGACAAAGTCAGTGAGGGTGAGGTCAGCTGGGTGGAGACTAAGGAAGTGATCGCGAGCGGTGGCAAGACGGTCAGGGAGGCGGGTGGCAAGCAGGTAGAGGGTAGAGCAAAAGGGGGGCTGAAACACACGAAGTTGAGCCACAGTGCAGGCAGCGCGCCAGGTCATGTCTAGCATGCGCAGGTGGGCGGCTAGGTCAGCGACAGTGGGGAAAGACGCAAGGTCAGGAAAGACCATGGGCAGGATCAGGCGACCTACAGAGGCAGAGGGCGGGGTGGAATAGCGTGCAACAACAGCCTCTAGGAACTCCTGCACAGTCCTGATGGACCTAAAAGAGGGGCGCTCGGACAGGGGAAGGGCATGACTAATCGCAAGCTGTGCGACAGCGTCACGCGACAACCAGACAGCACGGGCAAGGGCAGCAGCTGCAGCAGACTAACGGTCAGCAGAGGTGGGTTCAGCGGGGAGGTCAGCAGGGGGGTCCGGGCAGGGGAGGGTACTATCGATGTGGATGGCCAGGGAGTGGCCGTCCTGTCGCTGACCAGTCAGGTGTCGCTGGAGGTCGACGACCCACGAGTCGAACTCAATCGGCTGCCCCTCAATATCAGAACACAGGACCGAGTCCGCCATCATGGTTGCAGCAGCAAGAGAAAGACAGTACTGGGCAGGAGATCGCGGCGGAATGCGGTGATGTGCGGTGAAGAGCGGTACTGTGCGGTGGAGGGAGGTGTAGTACAGTAGGGTGCAGTGCAATGCAGTGCAGTGCGGTGCAGGGCGGTGCAGTGCGGTGCAGAGCGGTGCAGTGCGGTGCCGTGCGGTGCAGTGCGGTGCAGAGCAGTGCCGGGCGGTGCAGTGCGGTGCAGAGGAGCCAAGCACGGCGGCGAGGCGTCTAGAAGATGGGGGCGGTAAGGCGACGGGGCCAGCAAAGAGGCGGGGCCGGCAGGGAGACGGGGCCGGCTAGGCGACGAGGCCGGCTAGGTGACGGGGCTGCGGGACCGCGAGGTTACAGAGCCGCGGGGCCGCGATGTGACGGGCCGCGGGGCAACGAGGCGGCTAGGACCTAGTGCGGAAGTGCTAGAGAGGGGGGGGGGGGAACCTGCCTACTCATGATACCATGTTCAAGTGAAAGAATGACTAGAACAAGTCATACAAGGGAATATATCCTAATGGGTTGTACTCCCTAAGGCACAACCCTATATACTCTACAAAAACCTACAATATATGTTTGACAAGTTTCACATCGTCTGAGACATCAGAAAAGAAATTACGCCAGCCAGATATAGCCGATTACTCAGTCAGGCTAGGAATGATTTTCTTGTTACCCCTTTTAGGAACTTCGCAAAAGTCGGGTAATAAGTAGAATTGCTGGTTGCGGGGGGTTTGTGGGAGGATTATTTTGATGGCTGCAAGGGACTTAGCCGGTTTTTTCGGGTTGCGGGAGCCGAGGGAGGGATATTTCTCGCTTTGGGGACTTAGCCGAAATTTCAGGGTCGCAGGAGGTGTGGGAGAGATGTGTCTATCTGTGGGGACTTAGTCGAATTTTTGGGGCTGCAAGGCGTGCAGGGAAGAAATGTGCTAAAGGGAACTGTCTCTGGCTGCTAGGACTTAGCACGATTTTTTAAGTTGCGGGACGGGGTGTGTGTGAAAGGACTTTGTTTCTCGACACAAAACCCCTCACAATGCCCGGGCTCTCTAACAGAGCCTCGGGCACCGGTCCCTCGACTAGCAATCTCCCTTTCAGGTGCTGCCATGTCAGTGCATACGTTTAGCGGCCTCTCTGCATTGCGCACCCATCATCCTCCCTCCGGCAATCAGTTCCTATTCCATCCGTTCCCGTCGATTCCCCCGGCACCACCTGCACCACCTGCTCCTCCCGCTCCACCTGCGCCACCTGCACCTCCTGCACCTCCTGCACCTCCGGAGCCTCCCGCTCCCTCGTTGCCGATTCCCAGTCGTCCGCTTGAATGGGACAATTCATGGCAGGACGATGAGGACGAGTTGTACTGGGAGGAGGCTGCTGACGGAGAGCCTGAGCCTTCACCGACACTTCCTCGAGTTGCTATTATGTCTTTCGCTCAGCCTAGGTGTCGTCCCAATATGCCTCGCGTTAACCGTGATGCCGCACCTCCCTCTCCCAGAAACCACAAGACGAGGCGCTTTTGATACAAAGAAATACATACTGCGAGGGTTAAACGAGTCCAGACAGTATGGCCACGGAAGAGGATCTGCATAATCAATGGTAATGTAGGCGGTAAATGAAGCCATGAAGAATGGCATGTTACTTAATTATAACATAGACAGGAAAGTTATCGCAGTAATATGTGTCACCGACGATACATCGACACTATATTTAGCCATACTCGTTTAACTGTCTGGTGTCTGAGGTATATACTAGATATTCGATATTTCTTTTGTTCATCCAACTATTTTCCCCTAAGTATTGGCATGCATGCGTGCCTCAATCTCCTATATGCAAACACCCAAACACTCAATTTTCTATGTGCAATATGCAGAATCCTGGCATGATACTTTTTGCCGACCTTAGTACTCTCATAAAAAAGCATCCGGCTGATGAGTTTATGGTCCGTGCAATGGATGTCGAAGTACGCAACCACTCTGATAAGGAGCTACAAGATGGAGTTCGATCTCCCAATAAGATTATTCTTGCGGACCGCAGTGGCAATGTAATGGAGCTGCTTCTATGGGGAAAGCCAGTCTGAAGCAAAGAAAAATGCTCTAGTACCGCCAAGGAGTTCTCTTTGGGAAAGACGTATGACTTCCTCTACGTCGATTCCTCCAAAATCAAAGACATGAAGTACGTATTGTTCTTGTGAAGTTTGTAATTCTACGTAGTATGCTCTTTTCCAATAATATACTTGCATATTGGATATTAAAGTGTACTCGTACGTATTATCCTTCTCATACTCGTTATCGTGCCATTCATATGTTATCATAATTCGAGCTTCGTATTATAACATCTCTGTGCTTGTCCGCAATAACGTAGCGAATGTATCATGTTATTAGGTTCGCATACAAATGTGCTAAATCGAATTGTTCCATGCGTTGTTTTCCCTTATTTTCCGCATATGGTGCGTTGGCAAATACATATATCAAGTACAGCATGATAGGCTCTGAGGGACAACTTGTATGGGTCCATCGTGTCTCACGCGCGCTATTGTCTGACCCGGATTACGCCATTAACCAGAACACATTCGTTCCAACCCCGCTGTCTGCTTTGGTTTCTGGTGGACAGAAACAGGTATGCTTTTTATCGTAAAGAGTAGAGAATTCATTATTGTCGAAATTGTACCTTTTCGCAACCAAGCCGGATCATGCCATTCACTAGATCACATTCGTTCCAACCCCACTGACTGCTGTGGCTTTTGCAGACATCAATGTGTATTGTGTTATTGTTACGAGTATAGATTTCGTCATTGCTGTGTCACTTCGCAACCAATTGCATTGATTTTAGTAGTATCTACGTACGTAGTAAAACCGTGTTCAACCCTTGTTACATTTGTATGGCACTCACTATTTCATTGTCCATATCCCGCATCGTTCCAGGTGGAGCTTACCATGCGTGTATTTTTCTCGAGCACCACAGAACGTGCGATCTGCGAAATTCAGGACCATAGTGGTTCATTCGGGTTCACTGCATTGGGTAAAACAGCCGTTGCACTGAACCAGATTGTCAAGGCAGGACAGCGCTGTATTCATGATGACACGATTGAAGGGGGGGGTGTCTGCGGTCACAATGCTCGCTTCTTTTACACCAGCCAACGATGGAAGTGCTCCCCGAGACACAAGGAGATGGATGCCAAGTGTTTCACTGAGATTGGAGTCACATTCGACAATCAGGGAGGTTAGTAGTTAATGCATAAATTATTGTATATGATACCCATAAATATCATGTTCTTCAGCTCAATATACAACATACAACTTACCTCTACGCATACGTGCGTCGCTTTTTCCAGTGCGTGACAAAAAAACCGGGATTCGCAAGGGCGTACTGGCAAAGATCGAATTGGAGGCGATTGAGCAAGTTATTCCGAATGCTTGTACCATTGAGTTCAGCATGGCAGACAATGAACAGAAACACAAAATGCTGACTGGTCTTATTGGAAGATGGCTCATCCAAGTAAGGAATATAACAACACAACCGCATGTTGTTATTCATACCAACAAATTCGTCATTTGTGTTTTGTAAGAAATTTTGAGTCATGTTTGACTTCTCTTTTGGCTTGTGTTATCCATATTATGCTCACAGGTGAAGGTATGTGGCATATGGGATGGGATCACAAGGTCGATAATTTCACTCAATCGCCCCTTTGATACTGTGAGTATAATCACCATGTTGCTTTTGTATATTTACATACCCTGTATTGTTTTTCGTTCGAACCAAACTTTACCATCGGCATCCTGTCTTGTTATACTAGATAATGCTTAGGACGTCCCATCAACAAATGACAATAACAAGCGGATTGGTACCAGCACTGATGCTGTACATCCGGCAACTTCTGCGAAGGTTCACCGTCGTCTCTAAGAGTAAGGCATTGATACATATAATTTGTCAACTAAACTCTTCATACTATTATACTATACACATTTTATCTACTATTTTTCATCCCTTTCAGGCGGATGGCCGTCCACTTACTCGGACAACTTGAATTAAATTGATACAATGAGTAGCAACGAAACATCACAGGGGAAATGGGAGAGGAGGGGGATGATTAGGGGGGAATGGAATGGGTGGGGTGGTGGGGAAGGCGAGTGGAGGGTCTAAGACTTGGGCAAGGTAGCATCTTAAGATAATGGGTCCTATGTTTTTCTTTTTTGATAACCATGCTTTTGTGTTAACCTAATTCTTTCCGTGTGTATCCCTGTGATGAACTATCATGTTGGTCTATCGCTCGGTCAATAGTGTACCATGTGGTATGCCTGTGTTTTCTGCGTACCGCATTGCCACATCATGCGCATAACTGTATTGTGTCGTCCCCTTGTGAAATCGATACTCACTATGCCTAGTGTTGTATACAATTTGTGATTGTCATTGCCGGTCTTCGGACTCGATTCCCAAAATGTGAGTCTCATTGTAGCACGAGAGCATTGACACGTTCGTTTTCTTGCCCGTAATATTGTACTATGTAATGTGCCCAATGGCATGCGTTATTAAGAGAGTGCATTTTGTTGTGGGTGCAGTGAGATGACACAGCGTTTGCCTAATGCACAGTACAATTTGCGATTGTCGTTGCCGGTCTGGGACATTCTTCCCATAATGCGCATGTCAACACAAAAGCATTGATGCGTTTGCTTTGTTGCATTCACTACTGTTCCGTATTTTTTGTTGTCAATGGTGTTTACCATGTCTTGTGCATACGTTCTATATGTATTGTATTGTTACGTCATGCACATACCTAGTTGTATTGTATTGTCCCCGTGGAAACGATGCTGACTATGCCTAGTGCAGTATACAATTTGCGATTGTCGTTGCCGGTCTGGGGACTCGCTTCCTATAACGTGCATGTTAGTCTCTATTGTAGCACGAAAGCATTGACGCGTTCGTTTTCCTACCCGTAATATTGTACTATGTAATGTGCTCGATAGTATGCATTGCTAAGAACGATGCTAACTATGCCTAGTATGGTATACAATTCGCGATTGTCGTTGTCGGTTTGAGACTTTCTTCTCATAACGTGCATGCCAATCACCATCATAGCACGAAAGCATTCATGTGTCTGCTTCGTTGCATTCGCTACTGTTTCGTAATATTTGTTTGCCATAATGTATTCCGTGCTGTTGTAATTTAGTATCTCTATCATTCTCCGCCGTAAATATCGACGGTAAATGATTTGAGACTCTCATCATTCATAGGTGGCTTAGATAGTTGACCCAAATCTCTATGTTATTCTTCTATTTTTATTTCGGTATGAGTATCGCCGACATATCAAATAGAATAGCATGGATTTTTGTCTTGCACGATAAAATGGTTAGCTAAGTCTAACAATAGTAGTATAATAATAATGGATAGAAAAGTAGAAGAATAGAAGAAAATATCTGATAAAAGTAATAGCAATAGTAGTGGTAATAATAATAATAAATAATAGTCGTGATAGTAGTAGTAGTAATAGTAGTAGTAGTAGTAGTAGTAGTAGTAGTAGTAGTAGTAGTAGTAGTAGTAGTAGTAGTAGTAGTAGCAGCAGCAGCAGCAGCAGCAGCAGCAGCAGCAGCAGCAGCAGCAGCAGCAGCAGCAGCAGCAGCAGCAGCAGCAGCAGCAGCAGCAGCAGCAGCAGCAGCAGTAGTAGTAATAGTAGTAGTAGTAGTAATAGTAATAATAATAATAATAACAACTACAACAACAACAAAAGAGAGAAAACATAACAAATACATACACTCGAAACAACAGGAATACGCATGTGGAAATAATAATACTAATAATACAAATCTTTAGCGTAAAGGATGCATTAGACCCTAAAAAAATGATATGGGTTATTATCTCGATAAGATTTAGAATAATATGTAGTGCAATATCGGTCCACCATAATCGGTCCACCGACCGATAATAAAAGGTTGCTACGCAACCCAAAAACACTGTGCCAGATAACCCCTGGGAGAAATGGGCGAGCTATTGTATGCACATTGTTGGACCACATTGCACTGCCAGAAGAATGGCTGGAAGAAGTGCGTGAGGAATTCGACGTGGACTGTCAAAGCATACTGGGACCACTGATCGTAGAATCCTAAATTTCCCCGTCACAAACTCAAACGCGATAGCAGGAGAGTGTGCACACGTATCCTAGTGTACCAACACCATTATAATCTTACACGTCCAAAATCGCATCTAATTAATCGCGGTTTAGGATAATACATATGAAATTACGGCACTACAGCACTCCCAAAATTATGTTCATAGCAATGATTAAAGCCCGTCCGGCAGGTTGCATATTGGTACTGTTGAAGTAGGTGGGGCGGCAAAGTATTATTGGTTGACGAGGAAAAAGATAAGCGAAATGTTTTTGCAAAACTTCATATTCGTCCACCTTGTGCTTGCGCGGGAGTTTACAAGGGCTACGCAACCTAGCAGAGGTGTCAGGTTTGAGCCCCGTCATTTGGCAGGGGACTCACACCTGCCTCTTTGCCATGTTGCAAGGGGGGTTTTCGTGCCTCCGTTTCTGCGCTAACCGCCCACATCGTTTTTTTTGTTAGGGCAAGTTGAAAGGAAACGAGTCTCAACTATTGGGCTTCGGTTTCGCCCTTGTGCAATCAAACACACATTGGTACACTTTCGCTAAACCGCCTGAAAGTCAAAATTTGAACGAGTAATTACCCTTTGAGCACACTTCGTGCTTGTTCACCTCGATACTTGGTAGGGACGCAAACTTGCCAAGTTTGTCGAGGCACAGAGTTGAGGTGTTTGAGTCTCGTCAACCACTGCTACGGGTGGGTTCGGTTACAGGTTCTCAAGATGCAGCATCTTGAGAAAAGAGAGTTGCAACCTGCTGGTCGGGCTTTAAACGAACTAAAATGTTGCAATTTTGCGATGTTTTTTGTACTCAAACTGGTATGCCTAGCATTGCTCGTTCTCGCTATGGGTGTACTACAGGCGGCAACGAACACCAACAGAAACCTGTGAGCCAGCACGAGCACAATCCCGTCAGTTGCCTCATAAAATTCTTGAGGCGGATGCGATGACAGCTGAATAGTAGCTGGTGACAGCAGAAAAACGGGAGGCGTTGGTCGACGATCAATAGCCATTAGAATAGCTTCATAGTGATGGGCAACATGCGAGCACAAGTACATGGTGTGTGAAACCAGAAATATTACTCAACAGGGTTACCGTAGCGTTTTATCCCAGACATTTCGTCTATCTGCACATACAGATTGAGCGGCAACGTGAATGTTAGGGAATGCATTTGCGACCATGCGTTGAAAGTGACGAGCTGGACAAGCCAATCTCTTACCAGAAGAAAATGGCGTAGAGAGCAGCGCTAAACAATAACTCACCAGACTGGAGCCGTCGATGACCAGAGTGAGCGTCCCTGCCTGGTTGTCGCAGTTCGGTGTGGAGTCGAAGAGCCACAGCCCAATCACCGGTTGGCGACATTCTGTAGTAGATGTACACGTGAAAGGTGTTGTGATAAAATCGTACTTAAGCATTTCTGTAAGTAGTTCCGATAGATATTGTCGAGTTACACTGTAGTTAGGATCTGTAGAATGACGTCAGCAAATAGCGCTCGTCTGGATGATTACGTCAGCAAGCCGTTTCAGTCACGCAAACAGTCGCGCTCTTTTCAATAGCGGTTAGAGCGCATAGTGCAAATAGCTCGAACAGGTACATCACCGAATACTGTAGGTACTTCTAGCAGATATAAAAGTAGCTTGTACAACGTCAATTGTTAACTTGTTCTTCAGTAAATTCTGGTCAACACTTTACAAGTTCTAAGACTTCCGCTGAGGATATTTGGCATCAAAGGTTAGGACATCCTTCACCGGGGATACTCAATCATACTATACGGTCTTCGGTTCTTGACAAAATAGTCTACTCTTACCAGATGGAACTAAGATGAAGTCGTCATCAAGACCAGCAGTTGTGTACGTGGCACGTGCGACACCTGCGATACGACGGCCGTGAAAGTGTCCATGAAAGGAGCTCGCGAAAGCACAAGTGTCCGCTAATGGCCCATTCTCCCATGGCGAAGGCTGGCGAAAAAAGTGCCCGCATTACGCCCATGTGGTTCGTCGAAATTGGGGCCATTGGGTGCGCACCCGGTGTACGGTACTAGGAATGATTGTGAGGTACGAGCTACTTCTGGTGGGTGCTGCACGTTGCGGCGGCTGGAGGAGTGAGAGGGGGGTGGGGAAGGGATTTGCAATTGACTCGTTACTGTCACCTGCGCCCCGTAACGAAACTTGCGGATATGGATATCGTAGGAGTCCAATTTATACGGGTCTACACCAGTACCCCTTTCACCTTTTTTTTCCGCTAGTTGGGCTGTGTTATGAATGGGACTGCCGAGTAGCGCGGAGGGCAATGGCGAAACTGTGAACGAGCGAATGACAATAAAATGAAAGACAATACAATATATAGAAAGCCTAGGGTGATCCTGGACGTAGGATCGGAAGGTTCGGGAAAAGTATCGAAGGGCCTCGATGTGTCGTAGCGAGGTCCGGAAAGGCCCAGGAGGCTCGAACTGATAGGTCTGGAACCCTGGCGATGGTTCGGGACTGTTCGAGTCGTACGCCCTATAGCAAGCATCAGTAAGGAATTACGCATTCCTTACAGGCTGGATGGAAAGAAACACACCACCGACGGTCATTTGACAGATTCCTCTGCCGTCAACAACAGGAGGCTGGCGTCCGCCACGTCACGTTTACTTCGCCTAGCGTCGCACATCCAGCCCTCTCGCCAGCGTCGCTCATCGGTACAGTATTTCGATCCTGACATTGGCTTTCCGAGCCGACCGAGTGCAAGAAACTGTACAGGTACGGGTGCACCGAAAAGCCTGGTCAATACTATAATCACTCTAATGGGGTGTCTGTTGGCTGCAAATCTCAACACGGTGTGGTTGTTATGAGTGGGTAATGGAAAAACTACCCGGGATAATAATTAATGAGCAAGTGACGAGCGAATTGGCTAAGATAGGACACGGGCGTGCTAGGACAAGCTAGGGCAAGAGCCTCGAAATGTGAGGTTGGTTGGTTGGGTGGCGAGGATGTCGGGACGCGACTCGTGGAGGTTTGGGCCGAAAATATAGGCCGAACCTGCGAGTTTGAGTCTTCAGGTGTACCTGCTATAGTTTAGTGCAGTAAGGAATGGTAATTCCTTACACTCTCCCACCTTCTAAAGAAGCCCTCCATACACTAGAGGTGATATCTTGATGGATTAACAATCCTATCGCGTGTGACTCTAGGTCTTCAGATGGTTCTGACGAGCCTAATGATTATGCCGTCCTTGACGAGCCCTAGGCGACATAAAGCCGTTGGTCCAAATTGTTCGTCCTTATTAATCTTGCACCTTGCAAAACACAGAAGGGAAGGGGGTCATTGAAAATGAATGAGATTGACTCACGCAAAACAGTGGCAAGGGGTTGGGTTCTCACCCCTCGATGTTAGAACGTGTTTACAAAGCCTCTCACATGAATTTCGGCAAATTACTCACGCAAATCGCATCAGATTTTGTGTTAGTTTTCGCTCGAGTCAAAGGACACGGTACTATAGCGCGTGAGTCAATGAGAGGCTGGCTTGGGAAGAGGCCGTATGAACATGTCCCTTATTGAAGTATGCCCGGTAGAGTTACCATTTATGCATTCCTGATATTACATTTCGACTGTACGAGTAGCGCGATACCTCATATCGAAGGGCGAGAGTGATGACGTCAGCAGTAGCGAGTCAACGCGTGAACATTAGGTTCGCGCGTATAGTCCCCCGTAGGGTCATGCCACTCAGTCACACGAACAGTCACTAGTCATGTCACGCGAATATTTGCGGTACACTTCGAACAGATACATTCCTAATATGTGTTTCCTAGACTATAAATATGTCAGTATTACTCATTATTATTATCCTTGTCGTTTCAGATATTTCTTATACAAGGTGTAAAGTCTTTCGCTGACTTTTACTCGTGGTTCCACCAAATCTAGATCCTGGCCACCGTAAATACGTGGTTTAGTTCAATATGGTATTATGAGCAAGTGGAGTTACAGGAAATGATAAAAGCTGGTTTTGATTACGCCCTTAAGCTTAAGTTAGAGATCCACAATTATGTCAGCCTTTAAGACAGGAAATTCTACTACGAATTCTCCTACTTCTGGTCTTTCTACTGACGATCTATCTGACTTCGCTTCCTTGATGACTAATCAGTCTACTCAGCAACAATAACAAGCTCTAGCACATCCAACAGGTTCTATGAGCATTGATAACTCTAGTTATGCAAGAGATGCTGTTGCTTCAAGGTCTTCAGCCCCTGGAGATGAATCTGCTGGGGTTTTTGCCTTTCATGGACGACCTGTTCCACCAGAGCAACAACAATAACCACAGCAGCAACAACATCTAATGGCAGAAGAAAGACCATCCGCTATTGAAGCTGTTGTAAATCAAGCAGACTTCAAGTTAAAGAACTCAGCTTACTGTGATGGCCGCGACTTGTATGCTTGGGGATTCGAGTTCAAACTCCTCGCGCAATCTTCTGGTATCTGGGGATATTTTGACAGTACAATCCGTTATCCAGTGACAGGATCGACTGAAGAACAGACGCATTATTATAATTATTCGCTTATGGCCTATATACTGTTGGTGCGGAATCTCTCACCTGAAGAGCAGTTGGGAGTTCGGTGCTTCAAACCTTCATTTGCTCCAGCCTTCTACGCTTGGTATTACCTGCAAAGGCTATATCAAGCACAAGGT